TGAAGTCAAAACAGTTGACTCAATTCTGGGGGAGATGTCTGCCTGGAGGTAGGAGGGGGGAAAGATAGACTTGCAGTGAGTGGAGACGGGGGAAGAAAAGCTCTTGGGGAACCCTACGAAGTGGGGCAAGCGGGTACTTCCCCACACAGCTCTCGAGGGAAAGTCGGTCCTGCCTGTACGCAGGGTAGCACCTACCAGCATCATGGAAACACACATCTTTGGGCCCAGCTGTTTCACTTTTAAGAATGTCACTTGAGATAGCTTCATGCAAGGGCACTATAATATGTATAAGGATGTCTACTGAAGCCTCATTTGGAGTTGAGAAAACTTGGAAACAACTCGAATGCTGTTCAGCAGAGGATATGCTAAACAAATCACAGCACGTCTGAACAGTGGAGCCTTACGTAGCAAATGGCATACGTCTCTATGTATGAACATGGCAAAATATTCAGAATACAGTAAGTAAGAAAGACCAGTTACAGGGTGGCACGGGTATGATGACCTTGTTTCCATAAAAACTAAAAATATACCTATGTCTGTGTGTGCATGGAAAAATGTGAGAGGATGTATATTAATTTGTGACCAGAGTTTGTCAGTGGGACTTGGGATTATAGGATATTTTCTGTACAATTCAGTAGTTTTTTGGTTTTTTTTTTTGAGACAGAGTCTTGCTCTGTCACCCAGGCTGGAGTGCAATGGTGCGATCTTGGCTCACTGATTCTCCTGCCTTAGCCTCCCAAGTAGCTGGGAATACAGGCACTTGCCACCACGCCTGGATAACTTTTGTATTTTTAGTAGAGACGGGGTTTCACCATGTTGGCCAGGCTGGTCTTGAACTCCTGACCTCTGGTGATCTGCCCGCCTTGGCTTCCCAAAGTGCTGGGATTACAGGCATGAACCACCATGCCTGGCCTGAGTTAATTGCTTCTAATAGATGTATTAGTAAAAGAAAAATATCCAGAAAATAGTTAAAGGTCTAATATTTAATTATGGTAAATATGGGAACCATCTGTCCTTTATCCTCAAAAAGCCTGATTAGTATCCCTGTATTGTCACAGATACCAAAACTGGAATACATCCTTCATCATGCTGCTGTCCCAGTGAAAACTCTGAACATCTCTTATATTAGCCCTCTGCTTCATCCTGGCTAATTTACTGTCCACAACTCACAGAGTACTGTCTCCGCTCTGCACAGCCACAGAACGGGCATGATAACCTCTCCATGGCATTTATGGTTTCTGCAAATCACAAATCACGTAGGAAGGGCTCCAAGAATATTAGAGGAATGAGCGAGTGAACTCAGCACCCGTTGGGGAGCTGGCAACTCCCCAAGAAAGCCAGATATCTTCAAGCTGGCCACCAACATTCTGCAGCCTCTCTGTGAGCAGGGTAGGAACAGTGCTGGATGCACCATGCCCTGTCCACAGGTTGACATGAGGGGCACGTTCTAGATCAAGTGCCTGAGAAGGGCTTGGGAGACCTGGATCCCTAGACCACTATGGAACTGTGTAACTTTCCCTTTCTAGGTTTCTGTTTCCTCCTCTGTAGATAAGAGTAAGGCTTGGTCAGTGTTTCTCAAAGCAGTCTCCTTCGAAAACTACATCTGGAATATGTTATGACTGTCCCTGAAGAGGCTTCTATGGTCAAATGCACTTGGGAAATGCTGCTCTCTGCATCATGCTCTTGGAGATTCCCAGTGCGTGTTAGGTTAGAGTCTCCGAGGTCTGCCAGTAAATAAACGTACTTATCGATGCTTATACTAGCAATTCTCATGTTTATTTCACTTTGGCATCCTTTAAAATATTGTTTTCCAAGCATCTTAGTGTTGCACTGAATTCAGTGTTACCCACGGTCACTTCTCGCTCCCTGAGTCCATGACTGCAATGAGTCACCCTCCATGCCGCCTCCTCCATGCTGTCTGGCCATCATCCGGCAGTGTTCCTGGGGCTGAATGCCGAGTATTTCAGGTGACCCCTGGAAAAACGAAGCTATGTTTTGTGAGAGAGAAAGGGTCAGCCTCTCAGTATAGGTCCCGATGGAATGGGACGAAGGAGTGGTAGCCTGCAGATGAAGGAGAGGGGAGGGGAGTCTAAAGGGGCTTGAACTGCAGCCAGAAGCCCCCAGAAGGGGTGCTGCAGTTGGGGGCACTAAGTAGGAATAACAGGTAGGGACACTAATAAGCAGGGAACTACAGAGGAATCATTTTCATAAAACATCTATTGAAAACAGGCAGGGCAAATGGTCAGAGGGAAAGGAGGGTTCTTGGCACCTGTGTGTTTCGCTATCTTACCTGTGGCTGTAGCTCATCACTCCCTCGGATTTAAATACCAAATTTATGTTGATAGCTTCCATGTTTGAATATAATCTTTTGAGGAAGAGCATGGGCTTTAGAGTCATACAGCCCATGTCTGTTTCTTTCTCTGTAACATGGTGTTAACCACAAGATTTACCTGCTCGGTGTGTGTACGAGGGTTAAATGAGTTGACACATACAAAAGCTCCTAGAATCATAACTGGTGCATAGTAAGCACTCATAAATGACATGATCATGATAAATTATTATTCACATTTTCAGTCGTCAGTCCTCTCTGGCTTGACACCTCCACTCAGATGTCTCCAGGGCGTCTCAGGCTTAACACAACTGAATCAGAATTCTTGACTTTCCCAACAGTAACCCACCTTTCCCAGCCTCCCTGTTTCAGTGAATGGCATCTGATATACCTGTAGCCCAAGTCAGGAACCTGACGGTCAGGTGTGGTCCTGCTTTCCCCTTCCCTTTCATATGCAACCCACCAGGAACCTCTGCAAAGCAGAAGACTCCACCTCCGAAATATTTTTCAAGTCCATCTACTTCCCACATCCCTCTCTCCTCTAGCCAAGCATCCCTTTGATCTGGGTGAAGGCAGCAGCCTCTGTGTGCCTCCCTGCTTTTCTTCTTGCTCCTTTCCAGGGAATCTGTACCTGTGACCACAGCCTTCTGTAACAAATGTACCTGTGACCATCCTAAGACACTGCAAGGGCACAGAAAAAGAAGCCCATAGCTACCTCTGCTCGCTTTTGGTGTCCATTTGCATGAAATATCTTTTTCCACCCTTTTACTTTAAGTTTATGTTAGTCCTTAGGTGTTAGGTGAGTCTCCTGAAGGCAACAGATAGTTGGTTGGTGAGTTCTTACCCACCCTGCAGTTCTGTAACTTTTAAGTGAAGCTTTTAGGCCATTTACATTTGTTGGTGTTGAAATGTGAGGCACCGTTACATTCATCATGCTTTTTGTTGCCTGCGTATTTGTGTGTGTGTGTGTGTGTGTGTGTGTGTGTGTGCATGTGTGTGTGTTTTGTTTTTTGCTTTTAGCTTGTATTTTTGTTTTACAGGTTCTGTGTGATTTATGCTTTAAAGACATCCTGTTTTGATGTGTTTCTAGGATTTGTTTCAAGATTTACAGCTCCTTTTAACAGTTCTTGTAGTGGTGGCTTGGTAATGATGAATTCTCTCAGCATTTGTTTGTCTGTAAACAACTATATCTTTCCTTCGTATATGATTGCTGGATACAAAATTCTTGGCTGATAGTTGATTTGTTTGAGGAGCTAGAAGACAGGGCACTAACCCTTTCTAGCTTGTAGGGTTTCTGCTGAGAAATCTGCTGTTAATCTGATAGGTTTCCCTATATAGTTACCTGGTACTTCTGTCTCACAGCTCTTAAGAGTCTTTCCTTCATCTTAACTTTGGATAACCTGATGATAATGTGCCTAGGCAAAAATCTTTTTTTGCGATGAATTTCCCAGGTATTCTTTGTGCTTCTTGTGTTTGGTTGTCTAGGTCTCTAGCCAGGCTGCAGAAGCTTTCCTTGATTATTCTCCCAAATATGTTTTCCAAGCTTCTAGAATTCTCTTCTTCCTCAGCAACACTGATTATTCTTAGGTTTGGTCATTTAACATAATCACAGACTTCTTGGAGGCTTTGCTCATATTTTCTTATTCTTTTTTCTATGTCTTTGTTGGATTGGGTTAATTCGAAAACCTTGTTTTTGAGGCCTGAATTTCTTTCCTCGACATATTCATATCTATTGCTGAGACTTTCCAGAGCATTTCACATTTCTAAAAATGTGTCCAAAGTTACCTGAATTTTTTATTGTTTTTTTCTTTAAGCTATCTATTTCATTCAATATTTCTCTTATTCAATATTGGGAGTGTCTGTTCAGGAGAGGAGGGTCTCCCTTTCCCACTTCCGCAGTTGGGGCACTCACAGTATTTGGGGTGTCTCCTGGGTTCTGCAGGAGAATCCACTTCCTTCAGAGGGTCTGAGGGTCCTCTCAGGATTGCTGGTTTGTTCCTTCAGTTGATCTGGAGCTAAAATTCACCATGAAAGCCTTCGGATACTGCTCTGTCTGGAGCTGCAATCTAGTCCTGCCTCCCATCTGCTATGATCTCCTGCATCTTTCTGTCTACTTTAGTCAGATAAGCCCAAAGCTAGAACAAAAGACCCCTACATGAGCCCATGGATCTGCCTTCAGACACTTGAGAAAGCCTCCAATTCACCGTGAGAAAACTGACCCCAGTCAGGATCTTTGGTTTGCTCCAACAGCCTCAGGCCCAGCAATTAATGGACTTGGTGGAATGGTTGTCCTCAAAGCAGCCAGCGTTTTTAGCAGGCTGGTGTCTGGTCCTCTATTTTTCTGAGATATTCAGAGTCTCCTGACATGTATCTTCACTTAATTGTGAATTTAAAAAATGATGAATGGATGTAGATACAGATGTAGCTATACATGCAGACATAGATAGATATAGATAGACATCTTGGAGAAGAGTGTCTGTTTGAAGACTACGTCTCCGAGTACAAGTCCATGGTTACCACCATTTTGTTTCTCAGCAAACATGGGGAAGTCTGCTTTTCCTCTCCGGGGAAAGTTAACATAAATGTTTATTGATAGCACAGTCATCAAGGAATAAAGTTGCTGATTCATTGCTTGACACTGAAACCCTTTGTTGTGCCCTCCTCTTCCTTCCTCTTTATAAGGAGAGGCACTCTGAGAAAGAGGACATTATAGGGACCCACTCCACGTGATGTTTTCTTGGTTGCCTGTTCCCTTTTCTACCTGCAGAGCACGGTTCCCATAAGGGCAGCAGGATCAGCCTCCTCTCTCATCTGGAAGACCACCACTTTGGGGCCTCAGAGGAATGATGGAAGCCTTGGGGTTCCTAAAATTGGAAGTGAATGGCCCCATGGTGACGGTGGCCCTGTCAGTGGTTCTCTTGGCCCTCCTGAAGTGGTAAGTGCAGCCAGCCCTAGGGACTGTGACAGCCTGAGCAGTGTCAGCCCTGGAGCCTTGCTGGTGCCGTGGTGGGGTATGTGGGAGTGTGTTTTTCTTCTTTTCTAATCTGGCGGGAGTTGAGTATTAACACAGCTTCAGAATTAAAAGCAAACAGCCAGGTTAATCTTTTGCTAAAATGCATGAGACTGAAGTGTCAGGAAAGGCTGGTGATTCAGTGAGTGAGAACGCTACACATAATTAAGTTTGAAAGAGATGGAAAAAGAAACAAATTGGAAAGGCATTAGGTTTGGGGAGAAGTATTTCCTCATACCCCGTCATATCTCCTCACCTCATTTTTCTAAAATCCTCTGTCCTTGTTGGATTTACAGTGAATTCAGCTTCTTGGTTCATATTACATTCAAAACAAAACAAGACCTAGGAGCTGTCTGGCAAACGTGAGCCTCTTTGCGGGAAGTCATTGACGGGGATTTCTGTAGGTTTAAGGACAAAGTGGTAGATCTAATTTCTTAATTTTCTCATCTTTGATAGAGGGAGATGGATTTTGATGAACATAGTGTATGCAGCTCCTACAAAAATTGAGACCCTGAAAGGATCTCAGACTTGAACTCCGAATGCTCCCCTGTGGTTTTGTTAATTCAATGGCAGATTTTCCTAAGCCTGACTCTGGTGTCTGTAGATTGAAGGTCTTGCAATATGCTACATTTATGCATATTCACCCTGTCAGTTAAACTTATTAGAGTTACCCATTCAATCAAAAGCACCTGGATTTAGATGGCTCTGGCTTTTGAGGGGGAAGTGGAAAAAATAATGGAGAACTTGAGTCCGAACAGAATTTTAATTTATGTTTTCGGTAGTAATAAAGCCTCCTCTAGATTAATAACTGGGAAAGCACTTTGAAAAGCATCAAGCATTATGCAAATGTGAGGTATTATTCTTTTGGAATTTGCATAGCTGAGAGTGGAATTCACGTTTGATGTTCTACGATGATGAAATTACTTCTTGGAAATTGGCTCTGAAACCTAGCCTCAGTCCCAGTGCTGTTTTTCCTTTTAACTGGTTAAATTATTTTTTTAAGAACTTTTCTATCCCATTGTAGCTTATCTGTATTGAAACTGGCCACATGCAAAACCAAGAGCAAATGGTAGCCCCTTCCCTGCCCCCAGCCCCAATAATCCATTTCAATGTGTTTGTATGCTCCGGGAAGCCCAAAGCACAGTGTCTGACATGCAGAAAGCGCTTAGTCAATGTCAGCCACTGTAATTAACTATCATCTGTGTAACCTAAAAGAAAATAAGTCGTCAGTGGTTTCGGTTTATTTTTAATTTCTTACTAATGTGCTTATTCATAGTAATCTCATCAATAGCTATGCTCTGACTGTGGTTCTCAAAGTGGACACTTTTCTACACTTTTGTTTCAGTCTTTGTTGTGTCTGAGCTCCCAGCTCAGCACCTGGCATGTAGGAACGCCGCACTATTCAGCAGGGCAGCTGTATGTTTGCCGTCTATTCTTGGCCCATGTTAACAACCTGGTTCAAAGATGCAGAGATTAAGATAAATGCACCCAGAAGAGGTGGCAGATAGGAAGAGAGAGCTGACTTCTATTTGTTATCACAAAAATATTTATTGACCTGTTAATGTGTGCCTGGTCTTGGGGAGGCCTAGCACAAGGTCAGGGAGTGGGAGATCTGGAGCAGGTGCCCAAGGCAAGGGAGACACAAAGATGCTGAGGGCGGGCTCGATGCCTTGAGTGGATACTGCAGGAGGAGCAGAGGCAGCAGGAGAGAGGTTGGTGGTGGCCCTGGCTCTGGTGCTCTTGGGTCCATTCCTTGATTCAGTGCAAGGGGAACCACCCTTGGGCCCTTGACCCTTCAGTTCCAGGTGAGACTCTAGTCAGCCACAAAGCAACATCGACCAGCTTGAATGAGGCAAGGCCCCCTCCTGCTTCATTCTCTTGAGAGGATGCTTTTCCTCCAGTGAGAGAATTCACAGGCAAGGAAAGATGCAGGTGTAGAGACACTTGCAGGAGAAACTGGCAGGGGGAGTGGGTTAAACACTGCAGCACATTAGTCCTTGTTTAAGTGCTATGTGTGCCATCAAGCCAGGTAAGATGGCAGCGGAGAGCCTAAACCCTGAGAATGTGAATTCAAATGGGCTGGGTGTGGTGGCTCACACCTGTAATCCCAGCACTTTGGGAGGCTGAGGGGAGTAGATCACTTGAGTTCAGAAGTTCGAGACCAGCCTGGCCAACATAGTGAAACTCCATCTCTACTAAAAATACAAAAAATTGCTGGGCATGGCGGCAGGTGCCTGTGATCCCAGGATTACAGGAGAATCACTTGAACCCAGGAGGCTGAGGCTGCAGTGATCTGAGATCATGCCACTGCACTCCAGCCTGAGTGATAAAGACTCTGTCTCTAAACAAAAACAAAACCAAAAACCAAACAACAACAACAAAAACCCAGAAGAATGGAGGGGATCATGGTGGAGAGGAGGCAGGACTAGATGGCAGCTCCAGAAAGAGCAGCATCTATAGGCTTGCATTGTGAATTTTAGTTCCAGTTTGATTGTAAGAACAAACCGGAAGCAGACTGCTCCTGCAAGGCCCAGGAGACAGCCCAAATACTGCAACTGCCCCAACTGTGGAAGTGGGAAGGAGAGACCCTCCTCTTCCAACACACTCCCCCAATATTGAATGGGAGAAATTTTCAATGAAATAGCTTAAAGAAAAAGCAATAAAAAATTCAGGAAATTTTGGACACGCTTTTAGAAATGTGAAATGCTCTGGAAACTCTCAGCAATAGAATCGAACAAGTAGAAGAAAGAAATTCAGAGCTCGAAGACAAGGTCTTTGAATTAACCCAATCCAACCGAGACAGAGAAAGAAGAATAAGAAATATGAACAAAGCCTCCCAGAAGTCTGAGATTAAGTTAAATGGCCAAACCTAAAAATGATCAGCGTTCCTGAGGAAGAGAATTCCAAAAGTTTGGAAAACATATTTGGGGGAATAATAGAGGAAAAGTTCCCCAGCCTAGCTAGAGACCTAGACATCCAAATACAAGAAGCACAAAGAACACCTGGGAAATTCATCGCAAAAAGGTCTTTGCCTAGGCTCACTGTCATCAGGTTATCCAAAGTTAAGATGAAGGAAAGTGTCTTAAGAGCTGTGAGACATAAGCACCAGGCAACTTACAAAGGAAAACCTAGCAGATTTCTCAGCAGAAACCCTACAAGCTAGAAAAGATTGGAGCCCTGTCTTCTGGCTCAAGCAAAACAATTTTCAGTCAAGAATTTTGTGTCCAGCAAAACTAAGCGTCGTACATAAAGAAAAGATACAGTCTTTTCAGACAAACAAATGCTGAGAGAATTTGCCACTACTAAGCCACCACTACAAGAACTGCTGAAAGTAGCTCTAAGTCTTGAAACAAATCTTGGAAACACATCAAAACACAACCTCTTTAAAGCATATATCATACAGGACCTACAAAACAAAAATACAAGCAAAAAAGCAAAAGCAAAAAACAACAAAAATCCAAAGTACACAGGCAACAAAGAGCAGGATGAATGCAATGATACCTCCATTTCAATACTAACATTGAATGTAAATGGCCTAAAGTCTCCACTTAAAAGATACAGAACTGCAGAATGAATAAGAACTCACCTACCAACTACCTGCTGCCCTCAGGAGACTCACCTAACACCTAAGAACTCACATACACTTAAAGTAAAGGGATGGAAAAAGGCATTCCTTGCAAATGAACACCAAAAGTGAGCAGCTAGCAGTGGCAGCTATTCCTATATCAGACAAAGCAAACTGTAAAGTAACAGTGGTTAAAAGAAACAAGGAGGGCCAGGGTGTGGTGATTCATGCCTGTAATCCCAGCACTTGGGAGGTCAAAGTGGGTGGGTCACGAGGTCAGGAGTTCAAGACCAGCCTGGCCAACATAGTGAAACACTGTCTCTACTAAAAGTACA